GACCACCCATAATACTCTTACCTACACTATTAAGTAGTAGTAGCAATTCACAATCTCAAAATTTAATTATACAAATGCAAATTAGGTTTAGTTTAATTATACAAATGCAAATTAGGTTTAGTTTTCTTAAATAATGTATGGAGTTTGAGACTTAATATAGGTATACAAATTGTAAGATTATACTTTAAAATTATTACCTTTTAGGTGGTTTTCTTTCTATGTATTTTTAAAAGTGATCACAATTCAAAGAATATATACATTACATTAATAGATATTATATTCACTAAAAAGATAGATGTTGATAAATAGTAACAAATCATCATATTTATCAAATGATTCTCCACTTAATAAATTTGATGATCAGGTTATTAGTATTTATTTTTTTTATAGTATCTGATGTATATATTTCTTAAATTTTGGTCACTTTTAAAAAACACATAAAAGATAAAGGTTTTTAATATAGGATGATGATAATTTGTATACTTGTATTTAAAAACAAAAAAAAGAATGAAAGGATAACTTTTACTAAATATAACCAAACATCAGATTCTCCAACTAAGATTATTCATTCACAGAATTTATATATACTTTACATCAATAACATAATAACCTAAAACCTAGGGTATCCATAGAGATCAATTACTTGTATCTTACTTTCGATATTAAAATTTGTACATGATGCTATCCTACAATTGTATGAAGCAGTTTTGTCTCAACTATGTTCTTGTGCTCGTGGTTGAATATTTCAAGAGCTTGAAGTTCCGCATAAGTTGGTCTTAGATGTGTTGAAGTCTTTATAAGTCATCTTGTACTTTTAGTTTACAAACAATGCAAGCTAATTAAACACATGTGATAGTGTGTCAGGTTAACATCTGTGTAATGCTAATTTGTTTATCAAAATCAGATTTCAGATTTATATTAATGTTCATATGAGAATTAAATTTTTTTATGTTCTCGTTTTTTATTTTGTTATCCGATTCAGTTTCTGAACGTGATTAAGTTGCACTATTCGGTTTTCAAATGTTTAATTAAATAATACCATTCATCATATATATTAGTAGTTATACTTCTTTGGGTTAGCATGACTTTTCATGCATTATGTATAGTTTTGTTTGACCCTCTCGGAATGTGCTTCTATCCCTCATTAGTAAACATAATAAATAAATTTGTCGGCTTCAAACTTGGGTATATATAGTTATACGTGGGGTCCTTCATGTGCCGGTATATATGGTTTGATTTTTTTTTTTTTTAAATTAAAGTTTCAACCAATCAATTTTAATTGGTTTAGTTTAGATCAAATTTACAAAAATAAAAAAATTAGTTGATTCAAACAAAATCAAACCAATCAATGAGTTGGTTTGGTTTGAATTATTGATTTTCTTAAAAAAAATTGTAGATGTTTATTTTTTAAAAACATAAAAATACATTATATTATCTCAAAATTTAAATAAAACCCTAATATTAAAAGAGTGTAAATAGCATTCAAACATAACTAAAAAAATAACGTAAGAAATATAAAATTAAAGTAGTCAACATAATTGAATATAATCTAATATTTGAAATTAAAGTATTCTAATATTTAAAATTATAGCTCTTCAAACATAATTAAATTTTTCTAAGTTATAATTGTTATCTAAGTAGCCTTCTTGTATTCTAATAAAATCATTATGTATTACTTATTAATAAAATCATAATATTAAGATAATAATTATATTAATAAAATAATAATAATAATAATAATAATTTTATTGATTTGATTATCAAATCATTAAATATGCAAAATTAAACTTCGTTATTTGAACCGATTAAAGTTGGATTTAATTGGTTTGAATAAAAATTAAATCAACTTAATTAATTTGGTTTGGATAATTGATTTTATCGCATTGTTTCAATTGACAAACACTCTTAATCTTACATATACTTATTTTTTTTTCTCATTTTTGTGATATTTTTTTTATAAAGAATTAAAAAAGTTATTAAAGAGAGAATTACACTTCAAAGTATAGGATTACAAATGGATGAGGTTAGGTTATATTTAACTTAATTTAGAACTCAACTTGATGAAATATAATTAAAAAATAAAATATAAATTATAATATCAATACAAGTATAAATTATTTGATCAAATATTTTCAAATGATACTAATGACTCATGTCACAAAAATTAGTAACTATTTTTAATAATAGATATTTCATATAAATATCATAATTAAAAAAAATCGTTAATCAATTCAATTATGTGAAATACATGATTTACGGAGATATAAGAAAAGAATTTAATATACTTACAGTAAAAGAATTGCTTTAGAGAATAAAATCAAGTTATTAATTACAAAATTATGGATTGAGATCGTAAGTAAATGTTTTTTTTTTATTTATAATAAACCCATAGGTATTCTTCGTGGACCCAAGACCAAAAGGCCAAATTATATATTTGTTGGGATATTGAGAAATAGATGCCAATAATTACCAAAACCGAACATGAATGTATGAATTATAAAACAAAAACGATAACCTTTTTCTCCTAAAATTAAGTAGTTGTGACAACACTTGTTTAAAGCTTCTGCTTCATGGGCTTGAATTTTTCCCTCAATCGTGAATCATGCAGAGGCACCAGAGAAAAATCATGTGCCCCAAAAGGCACGAAATTTGTATAATGTTCTTAGTTAGAAACTTTCTTGTACCATTGCCTGAATTTATGACTTGTATTAGAGATGATAATTAAATACAAATGTAAGATTTATTGGTAATTGAGTTTATTGGTGATGCACATCTTACACTGTCATTCTTATTATAAATTTATTGACTTTTATAATAACATTTATTTCTTATTAGTTGATAATTTTTTACATCGACAGTGGATCCCATTAAACTCTAGTTAATTATCTACGAAATTTTGTACTTATTGTGATCCCTGGTTTGGATAAATCATATCAGATTTTGTGATTTATCTAACCATAAACCAGCTGATTTTACTAATATTTGTTCAAGTGAACACTTGAATTTATTAAATGACTTTGTTTCAACATTAAAAGAGGGCTATATATAAAAGCCCAGCTTCATATTAAATTTTAGAAAATTGGGTCAGACTGAAATATTTAGGCCCAGACTCATACATTTCTGCTAGGTGAGTACATTTTGAAGTCCTATCTTTTTATTTGAAGTTCTTCCCCAAAAACAAAATCAAGCCCTTCAAAAGCAACACAGGCCCAAGGACTGGTTCATGGATGACCCATTGAAGGAAAAGTATTAACTTATACATAGCAAAGGACACATGGATTACAAGTTTTATTATTTTCATCTTGGCTCTCATTCTTGTATTTTATATTCATTTTTAAGGAGTATGAAATTTGTATCCCTACCTCGTCCTCTTTGAAAATGAAATATACTTACTATACTCATCTTAAATTTACCAAAAAGTTAATTAAATATTATTTTTTTTTAAAAATATTAAAAAAACAAAAAAAATTAACATAGAATAAAAATTAAAAAATTATATTAATTAAATTTTATTTTACATAAATTTAAAATAAAATAAAAATTATATAAATATTAAATAATATTTTTAAAAAATAAATTAAACTTTTAAAATTTAAAACAATTACGAATTCAAGACAAATAAATGTATATTCATCTTCATATCCAATTTAATAAATTAAATATTATCTATATCCATTTCCTTTAAAGTTAAGATAAGTGCATATATATTAAGGGATACATATTAACTTGTCATCGGGTTAGAAGAAGTCATTTTGAAAATAGATTGTTAACAATAGTAAATAACATAGTAGTTCCTTGATTGATTGTTTTTAACATGGACATATTATTTACACTTGTAAGCTCTTGTTGATCAAGCTAAAAATAATTGAGGCCAATTTTATTAATAGATAAACAAATTCAATAGCTCATAATTTGATAAAGGTAATCAAATTTCAAGCGTCTTAAAGATTAGAGTCATATTCCTCCTTGTATTACTCATCATATTATTAATTTGAATTATTCCATTCCTAAACAAAAGAAATTAAATGTATCTCCTTGTAAAAAAAAAAAGATATTACAAATAATTGAATGAAGTACTCTTTCATATAATTTATCTAATAACATTATTAAAACAATGTGAAGTTTTTAACAGAGAAAATTGCAAGATGTTGTTGAATTGAAAAATAGTAAATTGAGGATAGTACCCTGTAATTACATGACAAGAAACTAATAATATATTAAAAATTTTCAAACCAAACACTATTATTTATTGAGTGATTAATCAAAATTCAACTATAATTTAACTTAAAATTTTATTTGTTAAATTAAAGATAGAGAATTAATGATATATTGAAAATCTTTACACTAAACACTGAAGTTTAATAGCTTGACTCAAGATCTTACTTGTCAAAGCAAGAATTTCACCTTTAATATAGCTTGACTCAAGATCTTACTTGTCAAACCAAGAATTTCACCTTAACCTTTGATATCAAAGCATCTCTTTTTAATCTATCAGCGCACTGCCAAAATGTTGGCGCATTTAGATTTTAGATGACAATTAGAAGACCAAATTGCAATCCTAAATGTCCTACCCTAATTCTACTTCACCTGTCATTTTACAAAGACAAATAAAGAAAGAAAAACCAGGGAAAGAATTTTTGTTGCACCATGCTCGTATAATCTGACAGATTGATGCACATCAGACCAAGAATTTTGGTGCCTCTACACCTAAGAATCCAACCACCATTAGGTGAGATGAAATTATGCCCACAACACAACAAACCACAAACTTTTACTTCCTTTTAGAAATGTGACTAGTTTTAAAGCACCTTGCTCTTTGTTGTGGGTGCAAAGTGTGTCACAAACAACTCAATCCTAACCTAGAGCATCAATATTGATGATTCATCAGTATTGTTTACTCCCATTAGAATTTGACTCCCCTAACTTCATATCATCATATCATGAAAAATAAAACCTCAGCTTAAATGAGAAAACAGAATTGATAATGGCAACAACAGCAAAGCAATCAGAGAACTTTGAAGACCATTTGAAATAAGGAATCCACATCATATTCAGATATTCAAAACTCATCACTTTGCTCTGCCTTCTACAAATTCTTTTCTTTCTTTTTTTCTCCTTGTCTATTGCCAAAAGAAACAATAGCTGAAACCAAAAGCAATATCTAGAGAAACAAAACCTTTGAATTAATATAAAACTGAACCTAACACATTGCAGAAAAAACTGAGGAAAGTGCTAATCATCAAACCCACAATATCACTTGAAAACCCAATCATCACCCCAACACCAAAAAAAACAAGAGACTTCGTAAACGACCCATTAAACGAACAAAGCTAATTACTAAAACACAAAACAAAGCAATCAGAGAACTTTGAAGACCTTATGAATCAATATATCTTCATCAGTTTCAGACATTTTTTGACTTCATCATTTTGCTTTGCTAATTAATTGATTGGTACCAATCATTTCATTGCACACAGGACACTGCGAAACACATAGATTTTTCGGCAAAAAAAAATTGCAAATTGGGCAAAAGAGAAGACACCCAAAAACAAAAAATTTAATTGCCGTGAGTAAATTTTGCACCTAGAAAACCTTATCTCGTAATTTCCTTGCAACTGAACTTGAAGATGCAAGGGGCTACGTGGTGCATCATGTTAACAAACATTGCTAATACACAAACAAATGAAATGACACAGAAAAAGGTACAGAGGCGGCAACACGTTTGTTCTGTGGTTTCATTTGCATAGCCACTGTCTTCATTATATAAGACTAGGAGAGTACATAGTCAATTAGGGTTTCCTTCTTTTTTTATTTTTTATTTTTGGTTTGTTTTGTTTTGGGCCACACAAAACAAAATATTGTTTTACTTATTTGAGTGCAATAATAGTTTTTTTTTTCTCATCACAATCTATACTAATACATAAAAGATACAATTATTTTCGTAATAATTTTTCGTTTTTATAATTATGAACGATTATATTTTTTAATTTTAAGAGAAAAATAAATATTTTTAATAATTATCATTAATTAATGCTAAATAATCTCTCACACTATTATATATATATATATATAATATTTATTTTATTTTTAAAAATATTTAAAGGTATAAAATACCTCTTTCCCCTAAGTATACTAAAGAGAATCATTTGTTGACTGTTGATTTTGAGATTTGTTTTTCAAATATCAAGAAAAAAATACGCATAGAAGGATTTTACTTTGCTTTAATTGTGTTTTTTTTAATAATATTTTTGTATTGCAATCAAGCAATTATAGTCATTAAATATCGTAATTATGTAATTTTTCTTTTCAAATTTTAATTAAATAATTTTATTCTTTTAAGTGTTATAATTATATAATTTTATTTCTTAAGTATCGTAATTATATATATATATATATATATTATTAAAATTATTAATATATGTAACTTAAATGGATAAAAATTGTATAATTATAAAATTTGAGAGACTAAAATACACAATTGCACTACTCATAAGCTAGAATTGTTTAATTAAAATCTGAGAATCAAAATTGTACAATTGTAATACTTGAAAGACTAAAATTATTTAATTAAAATTTGAAAGACTAACAGATAATTTGAGAGAACAAAAATGCATTTTAAGCCTTTTACTTTTTATATAGTCATCTAAATACAAATTATCATGATAGTTGACGAGTTTAAAAGATTTTACATTATCAAACAATTAAAAAATAGGCTAAAATATATTTTTACTCTATAAAATTAAAAGATTTTGATTTTGGTTCTGCTAAAAAAAATTATTTTTTATTCCTCTAAAATTTAGAGCTATTATTTTTAGTCTCTAAATATTTTTTTACTACTTATTTATTTATTAAAAGATTAAATGATCATCTCAAGTGTTACTCATAATTATTAATATGCATTAGCTCTAGTTTTTTCTTCTTCTAATTTTTAATTTTAAAGAGATAAAAATTAAAGAAAAATAATTTATATAAACTAAAACCAAAATTTACTAATTTTATAAGGATCAAGAATATTTTTCATTATAAAAAAATGCTACACAAATTAAAAGTAACTTTATGTTATGATTTAAATTATTTATCATAAATTAAAAATATAATTAATACGTTTAAACATATATATTACATATTTTAATTATAATATAACTTATATATTTAAAATTATTTATTTATTAAAAATTATAATTATATAAAATAAACATTCATTCTATACATTACATATGAAATAAAAAAAAAATATATATATATTTCACATGTAAAATAATAGTTTAAATTAATTATTTCACTCCCGTAAAAATTTTATTTTAGATATATGATTAATATTTATACTGTGAATTAATAGTATTTTAGTCAATGGATTATAAAGGATAAGTATTATTTTTTATATAATTAAATTTATAATAATAAATATTTAACTTAATTACATTTTTTTAATCTTTCTAGTATAATTGGGTGATTTTGGTCTCATCATCCTCAAATATTTGAATTTTTTTTTTTAAAAATAAGTAAATTACTCTATTTATATATCTAATATTTTGTTTTATTTTATTATGTCTAATTATATATATATAAAGGAGTTTATAATATGCATGTGACCATGCAACATGAGGGTGAGGCTCCAATAGCAAGTTTTCCTCAAGAAATGTGATAACATGCATTAAAGTCAGGATCGACCCAAACATGAGGCAAATAAAACCTATGTTTTAGGTCTCTTAAAAAATATTCTACATTAATATTTATATAAAAATTTTAAGATTTAGTTTAAAAGTAACATTTTGTATTCTTAAAAGCCCATTCTAAAAGGTTCATCTTTAAAGATATACAAATATCATTAGTTTTTCAAAACCTATCTTTAAAATATTTTTATTTTTTAAAAGATATTATTAATTTTTAAAAAGTCTTATTCTAAGATCTGTTTCAGGCTTAACAATGTGTTAGGTCAAGCCTGATTACAATTGTGGGAGATAAAGTGTCTCTCCATGACAGGATCATCATAAATTTGAATGACAAGTGGATTTTAAACTTTTATGGGAATATAGGGTGGGAAAATAATACCCAATAGCTGATAAATCATCCTTGTTCGATTTATTATAGGTACGTGTTAAGTCAGACGAAGCAATTTCCAGCAAGGTTTTGAATAAGACAAATATAATACATGTTGTTATTTCTAACAAGTGTGTTAGTATTTTAGAAAAACATAAGTACAAGTAAGATGAAGAATAAAACATGTGCCACTTCCTACACTAGAATCAAGATAAAGGGTAAAAGTTTCAAGCATCAGATGGAAAGATCAAACGAAGCCAAGCCTAGCACAAAAAGGAAAATGATCAAGCTTCAGATGATACATACCACAGACGAAAGGCCAAAACAAGTATCAATCAAGGCTAAATCAAGAACAAGACAAAAGTGGTTAAGCACCGGATGAAGTCCGAATAGACAAAGGACAACAGATGAAGCTAAATGGTCAACCAGACGAAGATGAGATAATGCAAAGCACATCATGAGGATCAGACAAAGGAAGACAAATGATAGATAGAGTAAGACATGAGCGCCAAATGATGATAAATCAAATATCAGACGAAGGTGTGTCAAGGACAACCTAGAGCGCAATAAAAGAACTCAGACGAAGATTGGTCAAAGATCTGAAGAAAGTCAACTAAATATCAGACGAAGGACAGCACAGACTAAAAAGTATTCTAGACGGAAATAAAGTCTGTCTATCTACAATGTTGACCAAACCAAAGAAAGTCAAAGCATTAATGACTAATGCTCAGACGAAGATCAAGACTTGAGATGCATATTGACTATCAAACGCAGATGAAGACTGCCATACAAGTATTTGAAGAATTAAGTCTCAAGGGACAACTCAAGCATTGTCTACGATCATATGAAAGCTCTCAACATGATCGCGTGATTAAAGGAAAAGACAAAGAAGAAGAAAAGCAAGTCAAAAGCAAAAGCATGCATGTGTCAAAAAAAGTACATCACTTTTTTAGATAAAGACAATGCTCTACAGCTACATGACCAGAAAATGACAAAAAGTTCCTAGGTCTCAGCTAAAGTCAGACACTGCCGCTAACAAACGTAGAAGACTTCATGCAATGTCTATAAATAGGAAGCAACATTTAATGCAACATTTAATGCAAGATCTAATGCATTAAATGAAAGACCAAACTAGTCATGAACGACTACCTCTGCTTCAACGGACACTTGCAACGGGAAAATTTTACAAGATTATATATATGTCATAACTTCAAACTTGGAAAGGTTGACGTTGGCAAAGAGTGACATCAAGCCCATGAAGCAATGAAACCAGAGACAGAGCTTATAGAGTCAAATGTACCGTAGTGTATTTATAGTGAGTGAAGCTAGCCAACCAGGAGTGGTTGAGAATACTCAAGACCAGGAGTGGTCGAGAATACTGACTGTGAGCTTGAAGAGGCTGAACAAATAATACTTGTACTTCATTGAATATCTAGTGGAACCCTTTATTTGAAGGAGACTGGACGTAGCTCAGTCTGAGCGAACCAGTATAAAAATCCTTGCACTATTTTTTTTATGCTTTAGAAGCAATTTTTCTTAATTGATATATCATATTGAAAACTTTGTCCAATGCTTAATTTTCACTATGACTCTTTTCAAACGAAAAATATACGTGCTTAAATTAATATTTCTTAAGAAACATTTTCCTTGTACAAACAATAAACTTTTAGACCGAAAATCTTTGTTAAGCCAATCCTACAGTCTTTAAGTATTCAAAATAATATTTTTACTGGACGAAAAAGAGCTTCTCTACGAAAACGTTCTTAAAATTCCCTAATATTTTGACTCTCTTGATGACCTACCACAATCTATTGTTGTTGATGAAATCCATGTCGAGCCTTATGTTGGGATGGAATTCAATTCATTAGAAGAAGTTGTAGGATTTTATAATGCATTTGCAAAGGCAAAAGGGTTTGGGATTCGTACTCGTTCTAGTAAACAGAATTATTGCATTTTGGTATGTGTTAGGGACGGTGAACGTCTAGTGAAAAGTGAAAAAAATGAAAAGGATAATGGCATCATGAGAGAAGTTAAGAGAAAATGCTCAACCATGCACATGGGATGTCAAGCGTCACTTATTGTGTCAAAGGATGTGAAATGAGATAAATGGGTTATTAAATCTTTTGATAATAATCATAATCATGTCATGGCTAGTCCTAAGAGTGTCTCTTATTTGAGGTGTCATAAAAAAATGAGTATTGTTGCAAAAAATCTTGTTGAGAAGTTTAGTGAAGAAGGCTTACCTACTAGAAAGGTTGCTTCAATGTTTGATGATAATGGTTTAGCTTTTTCTAATAGAGATTGTTGGAATCATATGAAAAATGTTCGTTTGAAGATTTTGGATGTTGGAGATGCACAAGCTGTTTTTAATTATTGCAAACATAAGCAAGCTCAAGATGATGATTTTTTCTATGTAATACAAATTGATGATGATGCTAGAATGGTAAATTTCTTTTGGCTGAATGCTAGATCAAGGTTAGCTTACCAACAATTTGGAGATGTTATTACCTTTGACACTACATATAAAACCAATAAATATAGCATGCCATTTTCCCCGTTTACTGGGTTGAACCATCATTTTCAATTAAATTTTTTTGGTTGTGCATTATTACAAGATGAATCTAAAGCATCTTTCATATGGCTATTTGAAACTTGGCTTCAGGCAATGAACAAGAAGATGTCGATATCTATAATAACTGACAAAGATTTAGCTATTAGAGCTGCTGTGGCCAAGGTATTTCCACAAACTCGTCATCGTCTATGTTTGTGGCACATTAGAAAGAAGTTTCCTAAAAACTTACACATATATATCACAAAAATTCAATATTCAAGTGTGAGCTAAAGATATGCATTTGAGAATCACCAACTATTAAAGATTTTGAAGATGACTGGCAACGTATAATGGAGGTATATAAGTTGTGGGACAATGAATGGCTTTAGAGATTATTTGATATTAGGGAATCATGGATACCGGTTTATAATCAAGGCACTTTTTTTGGTGGTATGAATACCACACAAAGAAGTGAGAGTATCAATTCTTTTTTTGACTCATTTGTTGATGCAAGCACAACACTTCAAGACTTTGTGGTAAAATATGAGAAGGCAATAAATAAACGATACGAGGATGAAAAAAAAGAGGACTTTGAGTCTAGACACAAATCACGCATTTTGAGTATTGGCGCAAAAATTGAGAAGCATGCTGCATCAGTTTATACTAGGAATGTTTTTGGAAAGTTTCATAATGAGCTTGCAAGTGTTAGCCATTTTACAAAGGAGAAGATTGACAAAAATAGTTCACAATGTAAGTATCGAGTATCTAATTGTTTTAATACTTGGGATACATTCATTGTTGATATAAATTTAGAGTCAAAGAATGCTAGATGTGGTTGCCAACTTTTTGAATTCATGGGAATACTATGTAGGCATATTTTGGTAATTTTTCAAGCCAAAAATATTATTGAAATTCCTACTGAGTATATTCTGGAGCGTTGAACCAAGGAAGCCAATAGATATATTGAGGTTAGTGCTCTTGATATTCAGAATCATGAATCAGATGTTTTGAGAAGTATGCATGTGCATCATCAATTTTCCTATTAATTCTGGTGTAATGTAAGTGTTCTTGAATTGTGTATTCTAGTTGTTATTTTCTTACTTTATATAGATGAATCAATTTTCCTATTAATTCTGGTGTCATAACAATATGCTATTTTGTTATCAAAATAGTGTGTTATCATTGAGATGTCTATAATGGTGGTGTTGGAGCTTGAGGGGCTAATTGTGAAGAATCCAATTCTTGAGACAATTGAAGACTAGAGATTGTTGGATTGTTACAATGGATTACTGCTTATGCAATTGAAGACAAGAGAAATTGGAATGACTATTAGTGAAACATTGTTTTAATATTTATAGGATTTAGTTATTTTTTTTAATTTATAAGTTGGATTCTTTTTCAATGCAACAATTGAACAAGTATGAATTTTATTAATTCAATCAGAGCATGAGTATAATTGCTACATGAAATTTCCAATTTTTACAAGAGTGCAGACAAATACAAAAAAGCCTTTGTAGCTTAATTCCAATTTCATCATAGAAGCCTTCAATGATATTTGTCTCTGTTGTAACTTAATTCCTTTTCCCTTCCTTTGTTGGTGATAATAAAACATCATATAAGTACATAGTCACAGTCCCTTTGATAACAATCTAAATTGTAGAGTGGTGTTGCAAACGACTTCTTTTCAACCCACAAAGATAGCTTCTTCGCCCCTTCCTTTGTTGCAGCACAATCTTTGCTTGTGATGCAACTATGGTCAATCTCTCGATGCCATAGTTATACGTAGTCTCAATTTGTTGTGGGTATTCATAAGTGGCATTGCTCGTGTGCATATCTAGCCACATTATAGTGTCTGCAAAGACTTTTTTGATGTTGTCATCCGTTTCCCTCGAAGTTAAGCCATGACACATTCCCAAGTACAACGTTATGGTCTTATCTTTGCTACTTGCTCGCTAATATAATGCCATGCTTACTTCTGGGTTAGTTACTGTGTCTGCTTCTCATGCAATACAAAAAATGGTAGATTCACCTAATCCAAATTCAGCCAACAAAGTCGCCTATAGTGAGTATATTTAACAAGTGATCAATTTTTGGAATCTGATTGACCATTTTGATTATGAACTAGACCCAATGTAAAAACAAAACCTTATATAACTTGTCTTCAAGGCTAATGCTGATTCTCAACATTTCTAATGTTGTTTTTAACCTGGGCTTATCCTGGTATATCAACTTATTTTTTCTTATCTGCAACCAAGGTTAAAGGGAGAGGCACATTATTTAACTTCAGCACTAAAACAACAAGATTTCAAGTAAGCATTTGAGAAAGAAGTTAAAGTTTCAGACAATTGTTCATGCATACATATATATCTTCAAGAAGACTTCCATATTTGTGGCATAGGTAATTGGTAATTAAAGATAGCCGCGTCATGATTCATATATATTTCATAATTGATACAAAGGAGGCAAATTTATTTATTGTTAGACATCGCATGTATTTTTTACAAAAATGATCTTGCTTTATTTAGATAATATTATTATGTTACAATTATTTTTTCAAATACAATTACATATTCAAAAATTAAACTTGAAACTTGAAACTATTCATTAATCATATTAACTTGTATCAATTAATTCACTTGTTTGATAGTAAAAAAAGCCAAGGAAATTATCAAATTAGAAATTTTATATTAATACTATCAATGATATCTAGTTTAAATAATTCTATACTATCAATATGATTTGTTTTTCTGTACCTAGAAAAGTTGTTGCAAAAGATGTTGATAGTTGATACCTTACACATGGGGGTGACGAGAACTGCACTGTCCTAGAATGAAGGTCCTTTATATGTAAAACTAGGCTCGGAACTCCAGTAGAGAAGTGCTACTGGTGAGTGAGATTCGGTGTAGTAAAGTAGCAGTGAAGGAGTCAAAGCTTCACTGGATGTGACGACAATTGCATGTCGAAATTTGAGTGAAAAAAATGAAGCAACGTGTTATTAATTAAAGACGATGGTGTGTATCAAATGAAAATAGAGGCTTAGATCGTCGGAGGAGAGTATCGAGAAAAGCAAGGTGCGAATACTCGAAACTTCGATGGAGAGTATCATTGTATTTGTGCACCATTAGCATTATGATTTATGATTACTATTATTATTATCAATATTATCATACAATTATTTGAGAAGGACGTGTCGGTAGTTGTATTAATTTCTTTGCTTGTGAAATGCATTTTGTTTCATATGAATAGATGATTTGCTGATCACAAGATTCAGCATTAGATTTAGACTATTCAATACTTGACATTTTATATTTGAAAAATAAAAATAGAGTTAAGGCTTTACACTGCAGGTAGTAGGAATTCTCGGACACCAAGGGATGGAGTGCTTGGAAACTTCACCAAGACAAAGGTGGAAGACGAAAACTCTGCCATAAAATGATAGATATTTAAAAACAACAAAACACACGTGATTTTAGGTTAGAGAAAGGAATCAAGAAAATTAACATTTTAATTATAGTTTTTTTAATGCAAGTACATTTAATTATAGGTTTAATTACATTTTTTTTATCACTCAAGGTTTATAATTTTTCAAATGTTAGCTATAAAATTTTTGAGATTACAAATTTTGTCACTACAATAATTGACTTTTTATTATCTTTAATTAACTATTGAAATGACATGTTAACTACTAATGTAACTCATTAACCATTAATATGTCATGTTGATAATTTATGCGACATAATATATCACATCATTATCATTTATATATCATTTCAATAATTTATATCATTAGTTAATATAACATATTAATCGTTAATATGTTATGTTAATAGTCAACTAATAGTGTTAGACAATTAACTAATAAGGTGATAAAATGTACAAATATTTGTAAATTTGGTGGTAAATGTACAATTTTAAAAATTAGATGGCAAAATTTGTAAAATTGTAAAATATGAGTAGCAAAAATACAATTGAGCCTTAATTATACTTCAAAACCCAATGAAAATTTTCATGTATATATGGACATATAGACATCCATGCATTAGCCAAATTCAAATCAAGATTGCCATTGTCAAAATCTTGTCTAATAACTTGGTATTATACTGTTAAAAACCAAACACCCTATTCAACTTCCCTTAGTGTTTTCAACCCTTTACATGATTGTTGCAGCTCTCACCAAGACAACAATATATGTTTTTCATGATTATTGCACCTCCAAAGCACATATCTTCATCATTTGCACCTTTGTCTAACACAAACTCTTTATCTGTTAAGCACCCATGGTAGAATAAATAACCTACAATTCAATGGTAATATTAGCTTACACCCACTCTAAGATCCCATGAATATTAAATACAAAAGCTAAAAGACTTGAGGGAAGTGCAACTGCACAAACAACAAATTTTCTACATGCTAGACCATAACTTAGCAATCAAAAGCTGTTGAGGAAAATGTTTCCTTTGTCAAACAAGAAGAATGCTAACACAGAAACCAGTGGGACGAAAATTGCTACTGAAAGAAATGTCAAGTTTCTCCAATTTGCAGGCTTTTTTGCTGAAATAGATGATGTTACTCGAGTTTCGGAGCTTGCACCTTCTTCATCCACCTAGTAATAGAAACCAAGAAAGGGTAAGCTTTTAGAATCTAAGAAAAAATAAGTTTGGAACTCTACATAAGCTTTTTACTCTATCAAATATCAATGAAAGGTTAAATTCTGCACTTTGTAATGTCTCCACAACAATATATAAAATCCATCCAGGATAGCTAATTACAATAACAGTAAAAAGTATATGTTTGAAAGAAATGACTGGTTATTGATTCTTGTTGAGAATTTTGCTTAACTCTCTGAATTACCATTGCAAGCATCATTAGTTTAATGAATGCACGTGATCAGAATGAAAATTATATACACTTTCACATATAGTTTAATATTCTGACTATAGCATGTGAGGCAGAAAATGGTTTGAGAAGGGAGAACCAGGGTTCGTAGACTTTTGACATGCCATGCCAGGCAGAGAAGGTAATAATATTATAGAGGCAAATGAAAGATGAGTGACAAGAAATACATGAAATTCATTGTTAATACAAACATTATATTGTCTTAATAAAAGTAAATCTAGTTGTTGAATAGAATGAAACACTGAATAAGAGAAGATCTTCAACAATGGGCAGGAAGATCATACTATCATAGTGTTATGTTTGCTTCATTGAACTGTCTATTCTCCCAAGTTCTTTCTTAAAAATGAAAACCAGAAAAACTTAAAGACAATTTATATGTATTCATCAATTCTACCTGTGTATGGTAAATCAGGTGTTAGCCAAGAAGTATTTAGCTTAAAGTTAATTTGGAGGGACTAAACAAGGATCAATATATTTCCATATTCTCATCATATTGATAAAAGAATACTCCTTTTTATTGTACCAACTACCAAGAAATTCCAATGCATGCAATAGAATAATGGACAAGTAGAATAGCCCTGGAAGGCTCAAAGTACACTTGTGTATCACCAAAATAGTTGTAAAATAATCATGTCTTTTATATATGGCCAACAAGAGATGCTAACTAGCGGTTAGAATGAAAAGAAAAAAAGTGAAGAGGAATAATGATATGTTAAGTATCATATTTACTTGTATTATGCAAGTATAGACAGAATTTTGTTAAGCTTCAGTTAATTCTAAAAATAATGAAGTAATCATGATATACCAAAACTTGGGAATGGTCTATGGTCCCCCGCTATAATATTGCAAAGTGTTACAGATATTGTGAATATATTACAGATATTGTGGACACATATATTATGGCTATTATCCTCACTATCAATTAGGGATATGATTAGATTAGTTTCCATAATATTAAAGATTAGTATCTCTATCATTTATTGTATTCACTCTATAAATAAGATTGGTATGTGTACAACAATACACACAATTCCTGAATCACAACATGGTATCAGAGCTTAGGTTTTTCTTTTAGAATATATTTTTCTCTCTTCTTGCAAAGGCCCTTGCTGCCACCTTCGGCTGCCGCCGGCCGCCGCGCCGGCGGCTAC